TGGAATCAAGACTGCCGGGAGAAATATCGACAACCTCAGATATGCAGATGATAGCACTCTAATGGCAGAAAGTGAAGAGGAACTAAGGAGCTTCTTGATGAGGGTGAAAGAGGAGAGTGAAAAAGGTGGCTTAAAACTCAACATTCACAAAACCAAGATCATGACATCTGGTCCTATTACTTCATAGCAAATAGATGGGGAAGTAGAAACAGTGACAGATTTTATCATCTTGGACTCCAAAATCACAGCAGATGGTCCCTGAGGCTGTGAAATTAAAAGAAGGTTGCATCTTTTAAAGAAAGTTATGACAAACCTAGAGAGCATATTAAAAGGCAGAAATTTCACTTTGCTGACAAAGGTCCATATAGTCAAAGCTATGTTTTTTGCAGTAGTCATATGTGGATGTGACATTTGGACCATTAAGAAGACTGAGAGCCAAAGAATGGATGCTTTTGAATTGTGGTGCTGGAGAAGACTCTTGAGAGTCCCTTGGACTGCAAGGAGATCAAACCAGTCAATCCTAAAGGAAAACAGTCCTGAATATTCATTGGAAGGACTGATGCTGAAACTGAAGATCCAATACTTTGACCACCTAACATGAAGAGCCGACTCATTGGAAAAGACTCCAATGCTGGTAAAGATTGAGGACAGGAGGAGAAGAGGGCAACAGAAGATGAGATTGTTGGATGGCATCACTGACATAATGGACACAAGTTTATGCAACCCCAGAAAATAGTGAAGGACACGGAAGCCTGGCATGCTGCAATCCATGGGGTCACAGTCAGATATGACTTAGTGACTATACAATGAACAACAACATATGTGAAGGGAGAAATAGACAATACAACGACAGGAGGGAAATTCTATACCATGTTTTTGACAATGGAAAGAGATCATCCAGACTGCAAGTCAATAAAAGCACAATAAACTTGGATTATACTTTAGAGCAAACAGTCTTAACAGATACAAAGAACATTTCATTCAACAGCAGCAGAATACACATGCTTCAGTGCACAGTGAACATTTTCTGAAATAGATTATATACTATGTCACAAAATAGTCTTAGTAAAGTTAAGAAGATTGAAATTCTGTCAAGTATCTTTGTAACTAACTACAATAAGATGAAGCTAGAAATAAATAATGGATGGAAAGTTGGAAAACTTCAAATACATAAAAATTAACTAAAAAACCAATGGGACATAAAATAATTCAAAAGAGAAATCCCCAACGTCTTGAAACAAACAAAAATGGTAATACAACACATCAAAACTTGTGAAATGCTGCAAAATCAGCTCTAAGAATAAACTTTACAGCAATAGATGGGGCAGTTATGAAAACGAAGCCTCTCAAATTACATTACTTTAACCTTAAGGAACAGAAAAAAAAGAGAGAGAGAGAGAGAGAGAGAGAGAAACAAGCCTACAGTTAGCAGAAAAAATTAAATAACAAAGAGAAGGTCAGAAACGAAATAAATGGAAACCAGAAAATCAATAACAGCATCAACAAACCCAAGAGATTATTTTTTAAGAAATGAACAAAATTGACAAACTTTATCTAAACTAAAAAAATGAAAGAAGACTCAAAAATTTTTTAAAAAGGAGACATTTCAGCTAATACCACAGAAATACAGAGGATTGTAAAGAGACTGCTACTGACATTTATAAAGAATAAAGTTGATAAGCTAGAATAAATGGATAAATTCCTATTTATCTAAGTCATAAAAACAGAAAACCTGAACTACCAATAATGACTAAAATTTTGCCCCATAAAAAATGTATTGTTACTGTCAAAACTATTTAAACAGATCATGTAATTCAGTATCAAAAAGTAAATAATTCAAATTTTAAAATGGTCAGAAGACCTAAATAGACATTTTTCCAGTGAGGACATACTGACAGCCCATGGGCAGATGACAAAATGCTCAACATCATTAATTGCTAGAAAAATGAAAAGTAAAAGCACGCTGAGATATCACCTTGTACATATCAAGATCACTATTAAGGAAAAGACAACAAATAACATCTGTTGGAAAAAGTATGGAGAAAAGCGAACTTTCATGAAATATTGGTGAGAATGTAAATTGGTGCAAAAACTGTGTAAAACAATATGGAGGTGCCTCAAAAAATTAAAATAGAACTACCATATGATCTAGCAATACCATTCCTGGTATTGCTAAAAAAAAAAAAACACACACACACACAGAAAAAAAAAAGCAATAATTCAAAAAGATACATGCATCCCAGTGTTCATTGAAATATTATTTATAATAGCCAAGATATGGAAGCAATCTAAGTGGCCGTTAACAGATGAATGAACAAACAAGATATGGTACATATATACAATGGGATATAATTCAGCTATAGAGAAGGAAATTCTGTCATTTGCAACAACGTGGATGGACCTGTATGCTTAGTGAAATGAGGGAGACAGAGAAAAACAAGTACTCTATCACTTATATGTGAAATAAAAAACTAATAGAAAAGAATGAATGTAACAATAAAGAAACAGTCTCACAGATACAGAAAACAAACTAGTATGGGATTGAAAGATATAAATATATCTTTTATGTATAAACGTGCCTTTATGTATAAAATAAATAAACCACAAGGATCTACTGTACAGCACAGAAAAATGTAACCATTAATTCATAATAACTTTAAATGGAGCATAATCTATAAAATATTGAAATATAATTTTGTGTACCTGAAGATAATATAATGCTACAAATCAACTATATTTAAATTTTAAAAGATAGGACCAGTTTCACAGGTGAGTACTCCCACACATTCAAATGACAATTAACACCAATTCTTTTCAAACATTTCCAAAAAATTAAAGAGGAGAGTGTACTCTCAAACTCACAGGAAAAGACCACCATTTTCATGCTAGATAAGGACATTACAAGAAAACTAAAGACCAATATCTCTGCTAAATATAGATGCAAAAATTTCTTAACAAGATATTAGAAACCAAATTTAACAGCACACTAAAAGGATTATACACTATGATTAAGTGGGATTTATCCCTAGGATGCCTGGAGTTCAACATACACAATTCAATGTATGCAATATACAACATTAATAGAATGAAAAATAAAAATAATATGATCATCTCAAAAGATGCAGGAAAAGCCATTTGACATAATACAATATCTTTTTGTGATAAAAATACTCAATTAGGGATAGAAGAAATGCACATCAACATAATAAAGGTAATAGATGATGAGTCTTCAGATAATAGCATACTTAGTATGGACAGGTTGAAAGATTTTCCTCTCAGTTCAGGAGGGGAAAGGAGGTGCCAGCTCACCCCTCCTATCAACGTAATCCTGGAAGTCCTACAAGTGCTATGAGTCCTGGAAGAGCTATAAGGCAAGAAAAAAAAAAAAGCATCCACTGGAAAGGAGGAATTATATTGACTTTGCATATGATATGAAATTCTATATAGAAAATTCTGAAAACTTACAAAATTTTTTTTCAATTCACTAAAAGTGGATTAAAGACTTAAACATTACCCCAAAACAGTAAAATTCCTGGAAGAAAGCAAAAGGAAAATCTCCTTGACATTGATCTTGGCAACAATATCTTAGATATAATAGCCATCAGAAGCAGCATGAGGATATATCTCACCATTATTTTGATTTCTATTTCTCTGGTTATTAGTGATGTTAAGAGTCTTCTCATATACTGATTGACTATTTCTATATGTTCTTTGGAGAAATATCGACTGAGGTCCTTTGGCATTTTAAAAATCAGGATATTTGAGAGCCTTTGTTATTTGTTGTAATAGTTTCTTTGGATATTAACTCTTTATCAGACATATGCCTTTCAAATATTTTGTCTTATTCTGTAGGTTTCCATTTCATCTTCCTGATCATTTTCTTTGCAATGGAGAAGTTTCTAGTTTGACATAACCCCACTTGTCTATTTTTGCTTTTGATACCAATGTCCAGAGCTTTTTATCTATTTTTAGTTCAAAATCTTTGACTGAACTATAAGTTTCCTGCTTCTTCACTGAATTTTTTTTTCTCATCTTCATAACATACTGCCACACAGTAACACACACATATCTATAAGCATCTCCACACATCAGTATTATCTAAATTAATCAATCAACTTTGGTTGTGAATCATCATAAAAGGCTTAGTTAGAAGACGGGCCAATGTGAGCACTTTGGCTGTGAAATCTCTTATGAATTACACGGAAGTGATACATTCAGAGTTCACAATTTTCAGATGTAAGAGGAAATGATATTAGGCTTACAGACAAGCAGTGTTTTAAGCCTCCCACTTCCCCTACAGAGGACTCGATGTGTGGCTGCCACTGTCGTTCTCTTACTTTTGGATGACCACCGCCAGGTACAAGATAACCCAAACGTCCCACAACACAAATTATATCACCTGAGGTTTACAGATTAGTTAACTCAGGTGGCTGGAAATATTACCAAGCAAAACCAAACATCCACGTTATAGTCATAATTATTTCTTAATTCAGCTTCAGAAATGTGTCACCAAACACCAAAGTTTTCTAGAAATGAATACAGTGGGTACCAAGACAGCAGGACCAATATGAGAACCCACAGGCATTTAGCTCAGAGTCAAGGAGTGAATTAACATACAGCCATAACATATAAACCCGCAATATTGTTTCTCCAAAAAGATTGAACCTCCTGTCTCGAAGCACCTTACTCTCACTTCTCATTGGTGATTTCTGCTCATTTTTACACATGAAGTTTATGGTAACCCTCCTCTTCTGTTCTGAAATGCCCCCTGACCTAATAGAGATGTTATTTCTGTGTCCAGTACAATGAGCTCTGTGACCAAAAAAAGAAAAATTGCATTTGTAACAATAAGTCTAATTCTCCATTTGCATCTATAGCTCCCTAGAAACCAACAGTATAAACTGCCTATTGGAACTCAATAAAGAATTCTTTATGAAAGAGTTAATAGAAAACTGTGAAACTACCCCGAGGAAGGGCAGCAGTGATGTGGAGATACTCACCTGTCTGAGAGATGGCCATATATGAGGCTTCCCACCAGCATTCCAGCCATGAATAGGGACTGACCCACTGATTTCTGTGACTGATAATCACATACAAGGTCCCACTGGAAGAGAAGGAGACCAGAACTTAGGAGCTTCACAGCTTCTTATATCCCTCAACGAACGGTCACTCACTCTAACAACCCTCAGGGAACACACCCTCTGATCTCCTTGGAACATTTACTCACATACATTACTCAAGCCTCAGCTTAAGCATGGAATCCTCTAAATCCTCAACTAAATCCTCTAAATTCTATCATGACAAATCATATTCACTTAGCACTGTGTGCCTCACATTGAAAATATTGAAAATATTGAGGGCATTTCTTTTTTCATTACTGATGCCTGGATTTTACACATGGAATAAAATGTATTTGGTTTGTTTCTTTGATAAGAATCCAGGTCATGGAATTTTTTTAATTAATATAAATATTTCTGATTTGCACATAGGCTAAGAGCATGTGACCAAGAATAATTTTCCACAATTTATATCAAGTACTAACTTGGCTAAACATAAAACTTCACACAAAGCTTAAGTTTTGTGATAGTAAAATCCATAACCAGTTTGTTAATTTCAGTGCCCTCAAATTGTAAGTAATTGACAATTTAAAAAAATCAACAATCACTGTTTGCTAAAAGAATGAATGAAAGCTGGCTACCTGAATGTTGAACCTGTGTTTACTTTACATTATTCTAAACACAGAGAACAAGCACCCACAAGAGGTAAATGGGGCCTTTACCTCAGTCACGACAGTGGAGGAGAACAAGCTATGGTCATACACCCAGCCGTCCACACAGGGCTCCGTGTCCAGGTCAGTCATGTTGGGGAAGGTCCCATTCAGGTGAAGGAGCTGCCACTGGGGGTGGAGGAAGCGGCGACACTTCTCTGGCTGTAAGTTTGAATCCAGTGGGATGGAGATTCTCAGGAGGACATCAGGGCTGAGGATCCCTGTGTCATTACCAGAGACAGTGGCATTATCGAGGATGTGGACCCAGCAGCGATGACCAGGAACAGCTGCAGTGAAGTTCTCCAACAGCATATGACAGACTACTACCATGTAAATGGGGAGAAAAAAAACCATCTGGAGCATCTGGAATTTCCCCAGGCCACCAACTTTATCCAGGAGCTCCTCAAAGGCCATTGTGAACAGGTAATCCTCAAGAAGAGTCACAATAACTTCCAAGCTGCAACTTCAAAGGGAGAAAACAGCACCCTTTCATTAATTCATATTAAATCTATCTGACCTCATATCAGGTTCTCCTCACTATCGAGTGGATCCAACTCACCTCACTACTGCAACAGATAAATGGAAAGAGTTTCCCTAGTCCTTTTGGAAGCATAGGATGTTCGCTTTTTAATAGTCATAGGGAAAATTATTTACCAAACATACTTGTATCTGATGAACATTAAATCTGTTTAAAGATTTACTCTCTGATGTGCTTGTCCTCAGTGATTCTGCATCAGCAACAGTGAACTTTGGCATGTACATGGTCTCTAAACAAGTTAAAATAAACCCACTACCAGTATTCAGTCATTTTCAGAAGATGGAAAGGACAGAATTGAACTGCTTTATGATTTTTCTGTGGAAAGAACAAAAAAGGAAGGGTTTTATGTGTTTATATGTACTTCACTGTTGTTGTTCACTTGCTAAGTCATGTCCAACTCTTCGCGACCACATGGACGGCGGCACACCCGACTCTGTCCTCCGCTAATTCCCAGAGTGTGGTGAAACTCATGTCCACTGAGTCAGTGGTGCTATCTAACATTTCACCTTCTGCCGCCCCCTGCTGCTTTTGCCTTCAATCTTTCCCAGCATCAGGGTCTTTTCCAGTGAGCCAGCTTTTGCCATCAGGTATTCATAATATTGGAGCTTCAGTTTCAGCATCAGTCCTTCCAATGAATAGTCAGGGTTGATTTCCATTAGGATTTACTGGTTTGATCTTATTACTGTCCAAGGGACTCTCATGGCTCTTCTTCAGCACCATCATTCAAAAGCATAAATTCTTTGGTGCTCATCCTACTTTAGGGTGCAACTATCACATCCATACATGACTACTGGAAAAACCATAGCTTTGACTAAACGGACTTTTGTCAGCAAAGTGATGTCTCTGCTTTTTAATACACTGTCTAAATTTGTCATGGCTTTCCTTCCCAGGAGCAAATGTCTTTTAATTTCATGGCTTCAGTTCTTGTCTGCAGTGATTTTGAAGCTTAAGAAAATAAAACCTCTCACTGCTTCCACTTTCTGCCTCCCATTTGCCATGGAGTGATGGGACAAGATGCCATGATCTTAGTTTTTGAATGCTGAGTTTCAAGCCAGCTTTCTCACCCTCCGCTTTAGTTCTGCTCTTTAGCTCTTTACTTTCTGCCATTAGAATGCTATCAGCCGCATATCTGAGGTTGATATTTTTCCTGACAATCTTGATTCCAGCTTGTAATTCATCCAGCCCAGCAGCTCACATGATGTATTCTGCACAGAAGTTAAATAAGCAGGGTGACAATATGCAACCTTGTCATACTCTTCTCTCAATTTTGAACAAGTCAGTTGCTCCATGTAAGGTTCTAACTGTTGCTTCTGGACCTGCATACAGGTTTCCCAGGAGACAGGTAAGGTGGTCTGATACTATCATCTCTTTAAGAATTTTCCACAGTTTGTTGTGATCCACACAGTTAAAAGCTTTAGCTTAGTCAATGAAGCAGAAATAGATGGGTTTTTTTTTTTAAACTCCATTCTTTCTCCATAATAAAGCAAATGTTGGCAATTTGATCTCTGGTTCCTCTACCTTTTCTAAATCCAGCTCATACATCTTTAAGTTCTTGGTTCACATACCATTGAAGCCTAACTTGAAGGATTTTGAACATTACCTTGCTAGCATGTGAAATGAGTGCAATTGTACAGTGTTTGAGCATTCTTTGGCAATGCCTTTCTGTGACTGGAATGAAAATCTACATTTTCCCTGTGGCCACTGCTGAGTTTTCCAAATTTACTGACATATTGAGTGCAGCATTAACAGCATCATCTTTTAGGATTTGAAATAGCTCAGCTGGAATTCCATCACCTCCACTAGCTTTGTTTGTAGTAATGCTTCCTAAAATACACTTGACTTCAAACTCCAGGATGTCCAGCTCTAGTTGAGTGATGGCTCCGTCATGGTTATCCAGGTCATTAACACCTTTCTTGTATAGTTCTTCTGTGTAGTCTTGCCATCTCTTTTCAATCTCTTCTGCTTCTGTTAGGTCCTCACCATTTCTATCCTTTATCATGCCCATCCTTGCATGAAATGTTCCCTTGATATCTACAATTTTCTTGGAGAGATCTTGTCTTTCCCATTCTATTGTTTTCCTCCATTTCTTTGCATTGTGAGTGAGATGTGGCTTCAATCCCTAGTTCAGGAAGATCCCTTAGAGGAGGAAAATAGCAACCCATTCTGATATTCTTGCCTGAAAAATTCCATGGACAGAAGAACCTGGGAGGCTACAGTCTAAAGTGTCCCAAAGAACCAGACACCACTCAGTAGCCAAGCACTTGTACTATTACTGCTTCTTGCTATTCTCTGGAATGTTGCATTCAGTTGGGTATATCTTTCTCTTTCTCCTTTGCCTTTCACTTCTCTTCTCTCCTCAGATATTTGTAAAGCCTCCTCAGACAACCACTTTGCCTACTTGCATTGTTTTCCTTAGGGATGTCTGCCTCCTGCATAGTGTTACAAATCTCTGTCCATAATTCCATAGGCACTCTGTCTACCAGATCTAATCCTTTGAATCTGTTCATCACTGCTACTATATAGTCATAAGGTATTTTATTTAAGTCATACCTGATTGGTCTAGTGCTTTTCCCTACTTTCTTCAATTTAAGCCTGAATTTTGTAATAAGATGTTCATGATCTGAGCCACAGTCTTGTTTTTGCTGACTGTATACAGCTTGTCCATCTTTGGCTGCAAAGAACATAATCAGTCTGATTTTGGTATTGAGCATCTGGTGATGTCCTTGTGTAGAGTCATCTCCTGGGTTGTCGGAAAAAGGTGTTTGCTATGACTAGCATGTTCTCTTGACAAAACTGTTAGCCTTTGTCCTGCTTCGTTTTGTACTCCAAGGCCAAACTTCCTGTTAATCCCAGGTTATCTCTTGACTTCCTACTTTCGCATTCTAATCCCCTATGATGAAAACTACATCTTTTTTTTTTTTTTTTTTTGGTGTTAGTTTTAGAAGGTGTAGAATCAGTCAACATCAGCTTTTTTGGCATCAATGGTTGGGACATAGACCTGTATTACTATGATGTTGAGGTGGTTTGCTTTGAAAATGAACTGAGATCATTCTGTGTTTTTTGAGATTGCACCCAGTTACTGCATTTCAGACTATTTTGTTGGCTATGAGGGCTACTCAATTTCTTCTAAGGGATTCTTGTTCACAGTAGTAGATACAGTGGTCCTCTAAATAAAAATCACCCATTCCCATCCATTTTAGTTCACTGATTCCTAATATTTTGATGTTCACTCTTGCCATTTCCTGCTTGACTACATCCAGCTTATCTTGATTCCTGAACCTAATGTTCCAGGTTCCTACACAATATTGTTTTTTACAGCATTGGACTTTACTTTCACCCCCAGACACACCCACAGCTGAGCATTGTTTCTGCTTTGGCCCAGCCACTTCATTCTTTCTGCAGCTATTTGTAATTGCCCTCCACTCTTCTCCAGTAACATATTGGACACCTTCCAACATGCAGTGGGGGGTATGGAGGGGGAAGAGAAGAGGCAGCATTGTAAATTTGAGAACAGAGTACAGGGTGCATAAACTGGAAGACTGATCCCCCTCTGAAGTCAGGGTTAAATGAAGTTGGGCTGCCAGGAAATTCCAAGGATTTGCTTGGTGGTTACAGTCTCACATTCTCTGGAAAAGTGACTAACCACATTCAGTGACTTGAGTCCAAAGTGCAAAACAGGGAGAAGTTACTTCCAACCACACATCTAAGTGCACAGACTTGTGTAGGTGACAAATGGCAGTTTCCAGGAGCATGGATGGGATGGGACTGGCTCTTGTTCAGCACTCTCCCCCCCTGCCGGCCCAACTCCATGCACTCCCCAATCTCACAGAGAAGGACCTTGCGTAAGGAAAGGCCAGTCTATTCAGAATACTTTTTCCTGGAGGAAGGCTATTTAAGAAGCCTTTGAGTGATCCTTGGCCTTAGAGTTGGTGTCCCCAGAGGGTCTCCATGGTGGGAAAATGTGTGGGAGCTTGATTCAAGGAGGGCTCTGATGAGTGCCTAAGGAAGAGGGGCTGGAATTAGGAGGGGCTGCTGGGCTTCCACAGGCTGAAGTGAGGAGCCCTTGGAAGGAACGGACCTGACCAGCTTGGCTAGGTCTTACTGTAAACTGGGGCCTAGAGGGTCCCAGCTTTAGCTTCATGGAGATAGGAAGGGGTAGTGAGATGAGGCTCCTGTAAGTCCCACTGCCCCAAAGCCATTGCCATGGAAAGCTACTTCTTCCATCCTGGTGAGACAAGGAAATTTGCAAATGTATACAAATAATTTTCTCCTATAGAGAAATATTTCCCCTCACTATAGAATATTTTATGTTTTATGTACCCTAGTTAACTTCTTTTTTTTTTTTTTTTGACTCTCTGAGTTATTTTATTTTCCTAAGAGTTTGCTTCTTTTTTTAATTTAATTTATTTTTTATTGAAGGGTAATTGCTTTACAGAATTTTGCTGTTTTCTATCAAACCTCAACATGAATCAGCCATAGGTATACATATACCCTCCCTTTCAAACCTCCCTCCCATCTCCCGCCCCATCCCACCCCTCCAGGTTGACACAGAACCCCTGTTTGAGTTTCCTGAGCCACACAGAAAGTTCCTGTTGCCTATCTATTTTACATATGGTAGTGTAAGTTTCCATGTTACTCTTTCCATATATTTCACCTTCTACTCCCCAGTCCTCATGTCCATAAGTCTATTTTCTATGTGCATCCCCATTGTTGCCTTGTAAATAAATTATTCAGTACCTTCAGAATCTTCCATTTCTCTAGATTCTGTATACATGCATTAGAATACAATATTTATCTTTCTCTTTCTGACTTACTTCATTCTGTATAATAGGTTCTGGGTTCACCCACCTCATTAGAACTGATTCAGATGCATTCT